TTGAAATTAACCAACTAAGCGAAGATAAATCCCAAATTATATTTCAACCCAAAATTAATCAATTAAGCGAAGATTAATCTCAAATTAGCTTTAACCCTTATTCCAATATGAAATTAACCAACTAAACAAATATTAACCCCAAATTATCCTTATACAATTAAGCATTGCATACATCACATAATCTCATCTCTAACACAAAATTAAGCAAACTGTGATATTAATTTCGGTTTATTAAGTATAAACATATTATAATTCAACACTGAGATTAGAAGATGAAGAGTTAAGAGAACAACCGAAATGAAATTGAAGAACAAAACCTCAAAGATCTACTTGCATTCTCCTCAGAAAATCAATATAAAGATTTAGCTATCCATCAACACTTAATTATCGCAATAATAAGAAATTGTAATTTAATTATGACATCGAAATGCAATTAAATTAAGAAATTGAATTTGAATACTGAATTACCGAAATTTAAATTGCAGTAGGAAATTGAAAGTGAAAATTCAAAAAAATGAATACATGCAAAATTGAAATTGCAATTGGAATTTGAAATTGAACCTGAATTGTATAATTGAAAACGAATTATAGAATTGAAATTGAACAAAGTGTATAACAAACCAAAATAAAACTCTATGTAAAACCCTAGTGTTAATGCTACCTGCGTACGTCTATTCTCTACGTAAAACCCTAATCTCCCCCTCTTTATTCTTTCTTTGCATGGTTATTTAACCTAGGTTTCTCCAATTGGGCTCATAACAATTATGATCCACTCACTGCATTGGATGATCTAAAGACAAATTGGCCCAAAATGTAAAATATGATAAAATGAAACCCAAATCCAGACACCTGTAGGCAGCTTCCGTGGTGGTTTTTCGTACTCAACTTTGGCCATCTTCCGATTGGATTTGGACAATGCACATGAGAGAAATATTTGTACCTTTTCCTCTTAGCTTTACAACGCACTTTGAATTTCTCAATTTAGAGTTCTGTAGATCAAGATATGACTTTATTACTGAGCAAAAGTCAAACTGTCAATAAATACGAAAATTAATTAGTTTTGCAATTAAGTCCACAATTCAAATGACAGTTAACAAACATCATACTACCACGAAATTAAGTCTAAATGTGAGAGTAATTAGGACCATAATGATATGTATTTACACAATAAAATATGTTCCATCAGTAACACTCTGGTCCGTTTGCTAAGGTCCTTGAGAAATATGCTATTTGTGTTCAATACACAATGTCAGGTACACCGCAACAAAATGGTGTGTCACAAAGGTGTAATCAAACTTTAATGGATATGGTTAGGAACATATTAAGTAATTCATATTTATCTGTATCGTTGTGGATGTATGTTTTGAAGACTACCATGTATTTGTTGAACATGATTCCTAGTAAAGTTGTTCAAAAGACTCCTTTTGAGTTATGGACAAGTAGGAAACCTAGTTTGATACACCTGCATGTTTGGGGTTGTCAGACAAAAGTAAGAATGTACAATCTGCAAGAAAAGAAATTAGATGCAAGAACAATTTGTGGATATTGTATTGGTTATCCAAAAAAATCAAAATAGTATATGTTTTACTATTCTACCAATAATACAATAATTGTTCAAACTGGAAATGCTCAATTTATTGAGAATGGTGAAACTAGTTGGAGTGAAGTTTCACGAAATATGGAGATTAAAAAAGTTAGAGTACAAGTTCCTATAATTAGTACATCTTCAAGAGTTGTTGTTCCACATGTTATAGAACCACACAACAATCAAGAAGAACAACAAATTAATGATCTTGGAGTTAACAATGAGCTGATAGTAAAACAACCACAAGAAAAAAGTATTAAGAAGATCTCACAGAGAAAAAAAGTTTGTTATTTTAAATGATTATGTGGTTTATCTACAAGAGTCAAAAAATGACTTAAGTATTGATAATGCCCCAATTTCATTTTTAGAAGTCATTAATAGTGATAATTTTGACCAATGGTTGGGTGCTATAAAAGATTAACTTAAATCAATGACACATACTGGTGTATGGAATCTTGTGGAATTGCCAGAAGGATGCAAGAGTGTTCGGTGTAAATGAGTATTTAAGACTAAGCGTGACTCTCACGACAATATTGAACGTTACAAGGCTCAACTTGTTGCCTAAAATTTTAGTCAGAAAGATGACTTTGACTATAAGGAAACATTTTCGCCTGTTTCTAAAAAAGATTCTTTTAGAATTATCATGGCATTAATAGCCCATTATGATCATGAGTTGCATTAAATAGATGTTAAAACTGCCTTTCTAAATGAGAACTTAGAGGAAGATGTTTGTATGAACCAACTGGTGGGGTTCATTAAAGAAAGAAGGGAACACATGGTGTGTAAACTTAAGAAATCAATATATGGACTTAAACAAGTTTCTCGGTAATGGTATCTTAAGTTCAATAATATTATTCTGTCCTTTGGATTTAAGGAAAGCATTGTTGATCGATGTATATATCTGAAGGTCAGTGGAAACAAGTTTATATTTTTTATTTTGTATGTTGATGATATCTTGTTTGCGACTAATGACCTTGGTCCATTAAGTGAGACTAAGAAGTTTCTCTCTAACAACTTTGAAATGAAATATATGGGTGAGGCATACTATTGTTGGGAGTTTGATATATGTTCAAACATGTACAAGGCCAGATATTAGTTTTACAGTTGATATGCTGGATAGATACCAGAGTAATCCTGGACTAGATCATTGAAAAGCTGCAAAGAAAGTCTTAAGATACTTACAAGTATTCTGCAATAGTCTTCTTTTCTAAGAACAATAAGTGTTTCAAAGGTGTTAAACATATGGAATTGAAATACTTTGTCATTAAAGAAAAAGTTCAGAAACGAAAAGTGTTAATAGAATATATTAACATTGATTTTATGATTGTTGACCCTTTAACAAAAGGGTTACCGCCCAAATTGTTTGCTAGCCAAATAGAAAATATGAGCATTATGTTTACTAGTGAATGTTGAATATTGAATGTTAACATTATTAATGCTTATGTGACACTCTGAGATATTTAATGTATAAGTTTTTGAAATTTGTGTTTTCTTTTTTATTTATATGCATGCAAATTATGATGAAGAAAACAAATTATGTTATTATTATTGAAAATGACACTATATTTGAACTCATTATGGACTTCTCATTGTAAAGTCATATTAAGGAAAAAGAGATAATATAATAGTATGGAAAACATTTCGATTGAATGACATGTAATCATCATGACTCTTGTTATAGTTGTATTTTTAATTATGAATAATGATATATCCAATTTATGTAAGGTCCTTTAATGCGCATTATGACTTAAGTATTAAATCACGAAATAGTATGAGATCACATAAAGTGAGAGAATGCTAAAATTAATTAATTATATTATATAACTCATGTGAAATATAATGATGAACGCAAATGTGAATTAATAAAATATAAGGACCTATTGATTATTATGAGAAATTATAATAAAAAAAAATAAAAACTTAGGATAACCAACTTGATAGGAGATTAAGGTTATGTCTTTGGCCATAAGATTCTATTTACATTGAACCATTATAAAAGCATGAGAAGAAAGAAAGAGAAAGAGATAAATTGGGAAAAGAGATTGGAGAATAAAGAAATTGAATAACATATTATCATGGAGCAAGGTTAATCTTCTTATTATGATTTATATATGTTATTGTGTAAGAATCATAAATATAAAGATTCTGCAGAGTAGTTTTTTGGATTGAATTAAGAACGTAGAAAAACTATAAAATAATTTATAACATCTCCAATGATTTTATTCCAAACCATCCTTACTAATGGAGATAAATAAAATAAGACTAGTGCATATCTAGAGATAAATAAATAAATATAAAATAAGATTAATACATAATTAGAGAAAAATAAATAAATATAAAAAGGATGAGTGCGTAACTGGAAATAAACAAAATATAAGTACATTGTTGAAAGTCTCACATCGCTTACATGTCGTTTGGTATGGTTTAAATACATGTTAAGCTACTCCACATATAGCCAATTGGTTTAATGTTGGAACCTTAACATACATAACTAAAGATAAATAAATAAATATAAAATAAAATAAAATTTATACATAATTAAAGATAAAATAAATATGACACATAAATTAACTACTATTATTAAAAAAATATAATAATAAATATCTCGTTCTTCGGTCTCAATTTATATATGATGCATCATAATTTTCTCAAAGTTGCTTTTATTTCTCTTTCTCATTTTCTCCCTATTTTTCAATTTCTCTCTTCCCTTTCTCTTTTTCTCTTCCACTCTCTTTTTCTCTCTCTCTTTTTTTTTCTTTCACCTACCTTGACCCCTCCCCTCCTATTTATATTCTAAATTTCCATTTTTTTTTCTACATTTAATGTTTTAGATAATAGGCTTTTTATTATTATTTTTTTAAATCTTAACATTAGTTAAAACTTATGAAGAATAATTCTTATCTCCATTTTTTTAATTTTTATATTTATAAATTAATTAATAATTATATATTACTAATAATTTAAATAATAGTTTTTTAAATTTTTAATAATAATAATTTTTTTAATAAATAGATGTTTTATTATAAATACTTTTTAATTATTTACAAATATTGTAATTTAATATATTATATTTTAAAAAAAAATATATATATATATATATATAATATAGTTTTATAGTGGATATATAACTAAAATAAATTGAACCATGCTAAAGTTGATTTCTCTTTTCAATTATTTTGGTTAAGTGCTTGTGTTAAGAAGAAAAATACTCTATAGTCTCTCTCTCTTCTACAAAATGCGTGGAAAACCAAAACCACCCGTCAATCCAAGCCGTTGACCAAAGGGGACAGTAAAACAACACAGCGCGTCCCGCCAGAAAACCAAAACATGACTCCCAACTTCACTCACTCTTGTTCATTCATTCATTGGTACATGTAACTTAAACTCTTATCTAGGGTTTCAAATCACTCTGTTCATGTTGTTGCCATATCAGTGCACAGAAACGATGTTCGCGAGTAATTTGATCGGTTTCGTCTTGGCCATCGTCTCCAGCGCTTTCATCGGCTCCAGCTTCATCATCAAGAAAAAAGGCCTCCAACGTGCCACTCTCAACGGCTCACGAGCCAGTAACCTCTCTCTCTTTCTCTCACACTCGTTCATTTCGCTTCCAATGCCGGTTTTCTCTTCCTAATTCCTCGTTTTCAGGTGGGGGAGGCTACGGTTACCTGCTACAACCTCTATGGTGGCTCGGAATGGTTACCAGTCAGTACCTAACTATTTTTTTTTACAATTAATTACATTTTTAGTCATTGAAATACCTAAATTGTATGATTTTGGTATCTCAGATTTTAATTGTGTCAATCGATTTTTTCAACATTTTTATTGCTTACAGTTCCATTGGATATTTGACGAAATTAACTATAACATCACTAATTGGATGCAAATAAGATGAAGAGACCTGAGAAAACTTGAAGGAGCACTTGACACAGTTAGAAAATTGAGACTAAAATGTTTGGGATTGACAAAAATGTAATTAAGGCTTTTATTTATTTATTTATCACTTTCATTTTTATTCTTCTTAGTTTTTAGCTTCGTTTTTGTTACAGTGATTGTAGGAGAGCTTGCGAACTTTGTGGCATACGTGTATGCCCCTGCTGTACTTGTCACACCGCTTGGTGCTTTGAGTATTATTGTTAGGTAAAAAAACGCTTGCAGATTTTTTTATTATTTTTTCTAAAAAAATAAAATTTGGTTGATTTTATTGTTTTGTGTGGGAATGGGTAGTGCTGTCTTGGCGCATTGCATGTTGAACGAGAAGCTGCAGAAAATGGGCATGCTTGGATGTCTTCTGTGCATTGTGGGGTCCACTGAGATTGTGCTCCATGCGCCTCAAGAGAAGTCCCTTAGTTCTGTAGATGAAATATGGCAGTTGGCACTTCAACCAGGTATGCTGTTGCTTGTTCTGGTTGTATTGTTTGTATCTGCGATGAAATGCAGATTGTGTGTGGTGTAGAATATCATAGCTGGATTTGTTTTGTTATGTATGGCTGATGTTTCTGCTTTCTGTTTTGGCATCCAGCATTCTTGTTGTACACAGCCTCGGTGATCGCAGTTGCGTTCTTTTTTATTTTGTATTGTGCTCCCCGCTATGGCCAGACTAATATTTTGGTTTATATTGGAATATGCTCCATGATTGGATCCTTAACTGTAACTCACTCTTCGTACCCTTTACCTTTGAAGTTCTAATATAACAGTAGACAAAACTCAATGCAAGAGTTCACCTTTTATTTTGCACTTCTGATAGAATGTTTTGTTTCTCAGGTCATGAGCATAAAAGCTGTTGGCATTGCTATAAGACTTACGATTGAGGGTGCAGACCAGTTTGTTCAGTTTCAAACATGGATTTTTACGATGGTCGCTATTTCCTGCATCGTTACTCAGTTAAATTATCTTAATATGGTATGTATCACTCATAAAATTTGTGTGAACATAATTTTGGTACTTGAATTTAATTATAAAGTTAAAGCCTGAGTTTATCCTCTCTTTAGAAGAAATTATATTAATCTTCTGCGTTGGCTTTCTACTCTGTATGTCATCCTTGTAGAATATGTGAGAAAGCATTTTAGTTTGTAGAATAAAGGGAATCATACTTTTGAAGGCTTTTTGGCCTCTGCTTTCTTCTTCGATTGCTGCGTATTGTCAACATATTTGTTTTAAAGTTTTCATCTACAGTATTTGCATATCTTTATCTGAATTAAAGGAGCATTTTGTTAGTTATGAGCTGATATATTAGTTTTAGAAACTTGACCTAGGTCATCGTAACTGATAATATTAAATTCCTGATCCTATTTAGAAGATTGTTGTTTCCGTGCCTTTCAGTGGCCATCATTTTCTTTTCAGCAGTCTTCAAACTGGACGTCTGTGTTCACCAACTCTTGCATGACTGCAGGCATTGGATACTTTTAACACCGCAGTTGTTTCTCCGATCTACTATGCCTTGTTCACATCTTTTACAATATTAGCTAGTGCAATCATGTTTAAGGTTGGTATTTTATTGAAACAATTTTATTGAAACAAAATGAAAAAAGCGTTTGTTGAGACATCGTAATGATCAAGTTCTTAACTATCTGTTCTATCCTACCTCCTCTGCTTTTATTGTTTAGGACTATTCAGGTCAAAGTGTAAGCAGTATTGCATCAGAGCTATGTGGTTTCATTACTGTTTTATCTGGAACGACTGTATTACACAGCACAAGAGAGCCAGATCCTTCAGTTAATACAGGTAATGAATCACCTACTTTGTTGAGGAGCCCCTTGTTGATGATCCTCATTATATGTGCCATTGTATTGAGCTGTAATCAAAGACTTTATCAATATATTTGTAGCTGGTCCTGCAACAAAGTTTGCTTACACACCTAAGGCTAAATTTTAAATTATGTAAAAAAATGCTCATATTTTCGTGTTGACTTCTTGCTCTATTCTAACATGAATAGGCGTTGTCATGGAATAGATAATTAATTTTTTGTATAAATTATTAGAGTAACTAACAAGGTTGTCAAATGAGGGTCTTATGTAGAATTGGGAAGGGAGGTGAAACACATAAATGGCGGGGCCGGATCGTAAGATCTTACCTAAAATACAAAGTTGTGTAATGAAAACAATTCTATTTAATGAAGATTGATATTTTATACAATAAAAACTTTATTTCCAGCTTTCTCTTTTTTGTTTTAGTATTAGTTAAATGTTAAGAAAACATTTGAAATCAATAAGAAAAGGAGAAAGGTGGAAGTAAAAAAGAGCACAATTACTACCACGTGCTAAAAGGGAAAGGAAGAAAAAAGTCACAACCTAGAACAACCCTTTTGAGAAAAATAACTTGTTTCATTATTTCGAGCATTAGGTAGAGTTGCTCAAATGGTAATTGAACAAGTTCAATAGAAGTGAAAATGTGGAGCAAAGAACAAATCTGTTGAGGACGATGTGGACGTACAAAACCAAATAGTTCATCTTAGAAGCGAATGGTGGTAGTTAGAAACAGTAGGAGAAACAATGAAACCAAAAAACAGAGAAGCGTTAGTATATAGGTGCACAACGAAAGAATTATCATTCATTATTGAGTAGAAAATATATATATTACAAAAAAGATAGTGAACAATCACACTACTCTGATTTCGTTGGTACATTAAAGATATGTAAAATCTTCACAAAATAAATACCACTACTCTTTTCTACCTTCTCACTGACCATCCAACCAACTCTCTCAGAAAGTAAAGATTATCATTAATTTCAACCTAACAAGACAGAACAACTCACAGAAAATATTAAATATAATATTAAAGTATCTAGAAAATCTCAGTTTCTTACAAAGACAAAGTAGTCTCCTTCACTTCATATCATGCTAAATTGTTGGACTGCAGAGGTAAAACACCAAGCCAAGAGATTCTGTTTCAGACCATACCTGAAACTTGTGAATACCTTGCAATAAGGCTTCCTTTGAGCAACAAATGCAATTGTTTGCTTCGTACTAGAAATTTGAAATGGAGGGAGCGGGGATTGCCAAAGTTTTATAAGGTTTGCTTTGGTCTTACTTGTAGTTGATAAGGACCTCTTAACGTGCTCTTCTCATACCAGAGACTAAATATTTAGAATATAAAGTTTATAGGACTAGACATTTGTAGGTGTCCAATGTCAATATTTTATAAGCTTCGGTGCCAAATTAGAAAAGGATTAGACCCATCGTAACTTCAAATCTATTGGGATGATGGCCCGAGTCTTATCAAAAATACTGTGGTCATGTTCATGGTGATTGTGGGACATCTTAACATGAAACAAGAACACCAACCAAGTATCTCACTAGGTGGTCATATTCTTCTTCCACCAAATTCGACAAAACATAATTTACCGAGCATGATATATCACATTATAGCTTCCTTATTCCTGTCAAAAGTCGACACCTATAAAATCATGACAAACTGCTTCATCGTTAAAGGACGAGTTTGGTTTCTGTAAACTAATTTGATTATTAGAGAAATGCTTATATTTTAAACTAGGGAGTTGTACTGTGTAGGAAGCTTAGTAGAAATGTTGAAATATATATAGTCTGCCATTTGAGTGATAACTACTAAAATACAGGAATAGAATCTTAACTCAATGATTCTTAGCAAATTTTGAAGAGTAAATTGATCGATAGTAATGATCATATTGATATTTGCTGAGTGATAAAGAATGGCAACAAAGGATGACTATGTCTTGGCATAAGAATTTTTCCCCTTTCATCTCAATGGCCAGTTTCTTCAGTTTTCCGTACTGATTTTACTCTTTATCAAACGTATTTGTTATAAAAGTACTATTAGGCTCGTGTTTGCCACTCATTTAGTGTAGCTGAGAAAGTGGATTATTAGTTTAAATGATGCTCGGGTACCTTTTCTTTTGTACTGCCTACAGATATTTCTTTTTTTATTACAGTCATAATTTGAATTTCAAAAATTGAATGCCATGAATTTTTTCTATTAAGTGTACTTTTAATCAAGTCTTCATAATAGCAGCAATATTTGTTATTTCTTGCTGAAGATACTCAAGTTTGAATTTACTTGATAGATATTCGGGGTTTATTTGCTTCTGGGAGTTACCATTGTAATACATACGCTTTCATATCAAAGACGAGTTGAAAAAGTGAACTAAAAGCTTTTTAGTTTCTAGGATAAAGGAATACATTAGTTCTGATATTTAGAGTTGAATTGTTTTACGTTCATCTAACTCCATTATTTCCCAATTAAAGATTTTTTTTTAATTCTATTATTCACTTCCTAAACATAAAGACATGCTGACTTTTTTATCCTAGAAAGAAGCGCCTAGAGATTCACAATGTAGTTCGCATAAATGATGTATACACATGCAATGACAAACGAGTTCTGTTTGAAAATAGAGCTACATTCAAAGAAGGTTAAACCAGAAAATGTTGGGGTCGAGGGCACATAGACAACATTGATAAACTAAGATTTAACGTAACCTGTGTATGTTTTGACAATGAGATTGGAATTTGTTTACTACTTTCTAAGTATGTTTAAGTTGAGTTGAGAAGCTAAGTTATCTTCAGAAATCCATATTTCATTAATTTCCCCCTTTCTTCTGAACAAAACTTGGAGACACTGCCTAATTATTTTACGCATGCAGATATATATAGTCCCGTGTCTCCGAAAGCATCGTGGTATTTCCAAGGCAATAGCGACCCTTGGAAACAGAAGGAGGAAGATGAATCACCCTTTAATTTAATTACAGTTATCCGGCAAGATCATTTCAAGTAATGCAGAATTCTTAGACTGGTGGAGAAAGAAGTTAGATCTGTCTGTCCCCATCTTGCCATTTACACGGGACTCGCATTTTTGTCATTGTCAGAGCTTTTGGGACTTACTCTTAGAAATGGAAATGTAGCAGGCTTATGTAAATTAAGCAATAGAAATGTGGCAAAGTGTTATGCGGTTTGGCTCTAACCCCATCTATTTGATTTATCAAGATTTAAAGACAATCATATTGTGCAGGCATAGACGATATAGTGCTTTATCCTGTCATATAGGATCATGTATATTTGAGTTTGCCGCGGACATCGTGATCATCTAGTTTTGCCTTGTTCCCCCCCTCTTGCATTCATTTCCCTAATTGTATTTTTCCCCCTCCATTGATTTATCTGTACAATGAGAAATATAATCTATGTATATTGATCAATGTAATGTAATTTTAATTATTTAATTAAGGACCTTATTGTAAGTATATGGATATGGATATCTATAATATTCTGCAGTTGGAGTTCATCTTTTGCTTGGAGACCATTACAATTCTGAACCACAACAAAACTGCTTTGGTTTAAATAGTTTGACGTCATACATTATTATAATTTTAAAGTTTTTGACTTCATTAGTGACATTGAGGTTTCTCCAAACAGACAAAAGTCGTTTTAGTTGGATATGTAGGGTCATATTAAATTTAGGGAGTCTTGAATCGGAGGGATCCAATTTGTCACATTAAATTTATTCACAAATTACAATTTTACACAAATAATAAACAAATTTCTATTATTTAATATGTTAAATTCTTTTTTCTATCTGATTGTATACTGTGTATAGTTAAAATTAAATAAAGTTGATTTTGTTAAGAAAAATAATTTAGAAGACTCATGTTCTTAAAGTTTATGTTAATAAGATTTTTAAAAATTTCTTAACAAGCTTGTGGCTGTAGTTTAGTGGTAAGAATTCCACGTTGTGGCCGTGGAGACCTGGGCTCGAATCCCAGCAGCCACAAGAATTTTTCTTAATTTCTGGTATATATTTTGAAATAATAATTTTGTAACATTTTAAATATGTAGCTCCCTTAAAAAAGGGCCAAATAAAATGGACTATGAATCTGTGAAACCATGTGGCATTATATACACATTAAAGTTTCCAATTCAAAATTTAGGGGATTTTCCAAGATGGATGATAGAGATACATGCCCATACTTATAAATAAATAAACTTCGAATTCAGACAAGTCTATTCATTTCTTTTGCCTCTACCTTTTTTAATGTCTCTAATTTTAAAAAATAAAATAAAATAATCTTTTATATTTGATGAATAAACCAATACATCACTTAAAGATTATATGAAATTTATAATTTACTAGATTAATTTAAAAATTGACTTCAATTTTTAAAATGAATTATTGATCACTCGAATGAGGATAATAATAAAGACTTCTATAGTTAGCCAAATATGCAATTTAAGTTTTTATAAAAAAATAGTTAAATATTTGATAATTTAGTTTCTCTCAAGGATAACAATGTTAGTTACTTAATATAAATAGTAATGCTTGATTAATTATAACTTTAACATTTTTATCACAAAGGATATTTTAGCATTGTTTTAGAAATTAGATAATATATTATGTTAGACTTGCTTAATTTAGGAAACTTAGAAGGCTAAATGCATAAATAATTTTTTTTATAAAGACCAAACCTGAATTTAAGGCAATAATAAATTAGTTATATGAGTAGAATTTAAAAAAAATAGAGGAATTATTAACAGTTTTAATATTTCTTTTCAGAGATTAATTTTACATTAAAATTGTAATCAACATAAAGAAAAACATTTATTTACTTCCAAATAATTTTAAAACAAAAGGTAAATAAAAAATCTAAAAAAGAAAAAGGTTAAAAAAAAGGTAGAAGAAGATTATTCTGTGATATTCATTCCTTAGCACTGTCATAGAAATTTTTTCAAACTATTTATTTACTTGTCACAATTTTCTTCATGCGTGCACGCAAATGTCATAAATATCTCACGAAAATATTGTATTTACTTGAAATTTGTTCTAACACCATTAAAAAGAGCCAAGATTGAGTTGCTTTCATGTCTTCTTACTACAAATTGTAGAGTATTTTGGTCACTTATCAGCAAAAGCTACACAAACGTAAAAGATTGAGATTGATGTGACCAAGAGATTGATGTATATATATATATATATATATATATATATATATATATATATATATATATATATATATATATATATGTATGATTAAAAAAATGTGAGTATGAGAGTATACCTACAAATTTTCGTTTCCTGAATGGAGATAACTTAGATATAAAATGGGTTAGTAATCTTATGTAGTAAAGTCTTATATTGGATAGTTTGAAGAGGGATGAAGAGGGAGAGTAGTAGACTCTACTATAAATAAGGGGTAATAGTTTATATTTATTCACCACAACAACACTAGTCTAATGGTGTATTGGGGATTTTGGTTGTTGTGTGTCACGAGAGAGTTTGTAATTTTTTTGTGAAAAAATTGTATGAGAGAGTTTGCAATTTTTCTGTGCAAAAATTGTATGAGAGGGTTTGTAATTTTGTCCTTGTAAAAATTGTAAGTTGAGAAATGAAGAGTTGTTAAGTATGATAGTGGATGTGGGCAAGAAGTGTCGAATCACGTTAATTTCTGTGTTGCTTTTCTATCTTTGTTTCTCTCGTGTGTGCTTCCACATGTATAAATTTTCTTTTCCCCTCTAGTACCCAACAGTGGTATCAGAGCTGAAGGTTGATCGACAGTGGGTTAGAGTTGTCTTTGTATCGAAAGTCTTCCTGACAGAGTGGGTCAGATAAGTGTGTCCCGTTAGAGTGAACGGCGGTACATGGAAGGGCTACTAGTGTTCCTGGGAGGAAGAGAAGTAGTATGTGGGTCAGAGCATTGCAGTGCTAGGTTTTGTCCAAAGAGGAAGAGAAACAACATGTCTTAGAAGAAGAGTACATTGCTACGAAGAAGAGAAGCAGTGTGTCTTAGAAGAAGAATACATTGCTACGAAGAAGAATACATTGCTACGAAGAAGAGAAGCAGGATGTCTTAGAAGAAGAGTACATTACTTATGCTGTAATGATGATGAATTAATGTGAGAGACTTTGGATGAAAGGAGGATATGTTGTGCCAGTGTGTTGGTATCCTTCAAAGTCTCAGTCATGATGATGGATTAATGTGAGAGACTTTGGATGAAGGGAGGATATGTTGTGCCCAAAGTGCGTGGGTATCCTCCAAAATCCCACATTGGGTAGTTTGAAGGGGAGTGGTAGACTCTACTATAAATAAGAGGTGATAGTTTGAGTTTATTCACCACAACAACACTAGTCTAACGATGTATTGGGGACTTGGGTTGTTGTATGTCATGAGAGGGTTTGCAATTTTGTCCTTGTAAAAATTGTAAGTTGAGAAATGAAGAGTTGTTGAGTGTGGTAGTGGATGTAGGCAAGAAGTGCGAACCACGCTAATTTTTGTGTTGTTTTTCTATCTTTATTTCTCTCGTGTGTGTGCTTCCGCAGGTGTAGATTTTCTGTCAGAAATATGACTTGTTGGGTTTTTTTAATTAAATTAAATAATTAATTTTAGAGTTTATTGAAATAAAAGATATTAAAGAGATAATTTGGAGTTTGTTAGAACATTTTGATAGTAGTGATATTTTGGAAGTTATTATCTGATTTTATGAATATATTGGGACTTAGGTATCACTACAAGAAAATTATTAATTACCGACGAATATTTACTGATCGGATATGTAGTCGTCGAAAAATTATTGATTACCGACTGATTTATAGTAGGTGTGGAATTTGGTCTTACTGACGAATATATTCGTCGGTAAATAAATAATTAATTACCGACAAATATATTCGTCAGTAAATCATTGGTAAATAAATAATTAATTATCAATGGATATATCCGTCGGTAAATTCATCGATAAATAAACAATTATTTATCGACAGATATATCCATCGATAAATTCGTCGATAAATGAACAATTAATTATCGATGGATATCTCTCGTCGATAAATTAACAATTTTGTTAAATGAACAATTAGTTATCGACGGATATATTCGATCAATAAATTAACAATTAGTTACTGACATGATTTAAAGTATGTTTTTAAAAATCAACATTAAATTAAAAAAATTAAATACTTAAAATTATATAATAATTATTTAATTTTAAATATATTATAATAAATTAATTATTCACCTAATTAAAAAATTAAATATTTTTTTATTTAATAATTTAATTTAATCATAATTAGATTAATTTATAATAATTTATTAAATTAAATAATTTTAAAAATAAATATTTAAGTATTTTTAATATTGAAAATATTATTTAATAGAAGAATTTTAATTAAACAATAGAAGGAAAAAAAGATAAAAAGAATAAATTAAAAATAAAAAAAGAAACAAAATTATTTTATATAATTATATAAATAAATTATAAAGATTATATTCTATTATTAAATTACAAACCCATATAAAGAGACCTAGCTCACAAATTTGACATCAAAATTTTAAAAATTCACTTAACACTATCTTTCACATCCAACATATAAATATATCAAAATATATAAATATATATATATATATATATATATATATAAATATATAAATATATACGTATTTATATATTTTATATTTATATATTTACACATATATACATTTATTTATATATAAATATAATTTATTTGTAAATTATTATCGGAAAATTCTAGTAGCGTAGTAGTTAGGGGTATTAGCCTCCAACTCTAAGGTACTAGGTTTGAATCCTGTCAGTAACAATTATCTTAATCGAATAATAATTGAAATTTCTAAAAAAATAATATAATACCTACTTACCGACGAATTTTGTCCTACATGATTATATTCCTCTTTGAAGTATTAATGAGAATCAATAATATACATTTTCACAATTTTTAGAAATTATTTGTTTACAAATTGGTATCAAGAGTTAAGGTTTCTTGAGAGTGAGAGCTAGGGTTTGAACGCCAGAAAAGAGTGTGAATGGCTGGTATAGTGAGTGCCGCTACAGTTGTGTCCCAACTGACAAAGGACATCAATTATAATATATGGAGTGCCCAAATGCATATTCTCCTCAAAGCCCAAGGTATTTGGAGGAATGTTTTGAACAACCAGAGAACACGAATGCACTAACGATCAATGAACTCAGGGAGTTAGAGAAGAATCATGAGAAAGACAATGAAACTCTGTTTTTACTTACTCAAGTTGTAGAAAATTCTGACTTAGAGAAGATTGTCAGAGCCAAATCGGTATTTGATGCGTGGAATGAGCTGAAGAAGGAGCACAAAGAAGATGACCGAGTCACATAGATTCGATGTCAAGTACTACGAAGCGAGATGGAGAACATGAAAATGAAGGGGTCGAAAAAAGTTTTTGAATATGTCCAACGTGTTGAAAACGTGGCAAAACAGCTTAATCAGAATGGAGAAGTTTTTTCCACAAAACAGATCGTTGAAAAAATCTTGAGGTTGTTAGCAAAACCCTTTAAGAATGTGGTGTGTGTTATTGAACAAGCAAAGGATCTGTCCAACCTATCAATAAAAGAGTTAGTCGGATCTCTTCAAGTATACCGAATGGAGAAAGATAAGGAGGACGAGGACACGAGTGTGAAAGTGCTTTAGACAAAAAAAAAGGTGTTCTATTCTCAGAATAATGAAGGAAGAGGATTTAGTGGTCGGTCCCGAGGTGGTTGATTTGGATGAGGAGGATTCGATGACCGAGGCTACGAGAAGGAAGAAGGGATTCAACAAAACTGGCGAGGAAGAGGACGTGGTATGAGAGGAGGTCAGTCAATGAACCACTCAGATGTCGAGTGTTTCAAGTGTGACAATTATGATTACTATGTGACAGATTGCTACTCGGGAAAATGTTTTGATTGTGGAATTGATGGACATTTTGCGAGAGATTGCCAAAAGGGGGGTAAAACCTATCTTGCAGAGGAAGAGGAAACTAGAGTAACATTGTTGATGGTCGATCACAATTTGACAATACATTTGTTAGTTAATTACAGTGATGAATTTGATCACAAGTCGATATGATATCTAGATATAGGGGTGAGTAATCACATGAGTGGTGATAAACGTTTTTTTAAAGATTTAAAGAAGTCGAATATTGGCACTGTTTCGTTTGTAGACGCTTCAAAGGTCTCGGTAAGTGGCCAAGGCATGATCCGCTATTTACAAAAAGATGGACTGATGGGGACGATCCAAGATGTGTACTATGTTCCCGATCTCAAAAGTAATATTTTGAGTATGAGATAGTTGATGGAGAAGGGGTACACGGTCTTCATGAAAGACTGAGTGATCGATTTAAGGGATAAACTTGGAAGACTAATGGCTTGGGTTGAGGTGGAGAAGAATATGATGTATAAGTTGCAGCTAGAAGGTATTAGAGAGAAGTGTCTGAAGCTTGACGTGAAGGACACATTGCTAACTTAGCATCATCGATTTGGCCACTTGAGCTTTGGTGGACTTGCCGAGTTGTCAAACTAGGAGATGGTGCTCGGACTACCGAGCTTGAAGAATGGAGAAAGATTTTGTGAAGAATGTATGACCGAAAAATTGGTGAGGACCCCCTTTTCAAAGAATGTCGAGTACCGAGCAAACAAACAACTTAAGTTGATTCGTACCGATCTTTGTGGACCAATCACCCTTGAGTCATTTAGTGGTAAGAGATATTTTATGACATATGTTAATGATTTCTCTAGAAAGACATGGGTGTATATGCTGAAAGAGAAATCTGGAGTATTCAAAAAATTCAAGGTGATGATTGAGAATATAACCAGGTGGCATATCCGATTAGTCTGATTAGATAGAGGAGAACATATGTAGGATGTTTTCATAAAGTATTGCAAAGATGAAGGAATAAAAAGATTCCTAATAGCCTCATACTCATCACAAAAAAATAGTGTGGCTGAGAGGAAGAACCAAACAATCCTTGACACGGTTCGAGCTATGTTGAAATCCAAGAGTATGCCAAAAGTGTTTTGGGTAAAGGCGGTACAATGTGCTATCTACACACATAATAGGTGTCCACATGCAAAACTAGATGGTGTAACACCCCAAGAGGCATGGAGCAGTCAGCAACCAACTGTGTCTCGTCTCAAAGTGTTTGGAAGTTTGACCTACAGAGTAGTTCTATCTTAACATCAGACTAAGCTAGAAGACAAGAGTCAAAAGTATTTGTTTGTTGGTTATGATGAAACATCAAAAGCTTATAGGTTGTAAGTCGGGTTTGACTATGATGAGGTATTCACCCTGGTGGCAAGGATGGAGATTGTTCAGCTAGTGATCTCCTTAGCAGCATAATACATGTGGACAATTATGCAAATGAATGTCAAGTCAACATTTTTGAATGATCTTCAAGGAGGAAGTATATGTTGAGCAACCACCTGGATACGTGAAAAAAGGCAAGGAGGAGAAAGTGTTGCGATTAAAGAAATCTCTTTATGGGCTAAAATAAGCTTCTCGGGCATGGAACTATCAAATAGATCTCTACTTCAAGGAAAATGGATTTTTACAATGTCCTTATAAACATGCCCTATATGTGAAGAAGAAAGGAGGCAATCTGACTTTTGTTGCTCTATATGTGGATGATCTCATTTTTATGAGAAACAATTCTGGAATGACTGATCTTGACATGAAGTTTTTTCTGGGTCTAGAAGTTAGACAAGAGGGAGTCAGGAATATTCATGTCTTAAGAAGGGTATGCAAATGAGATTTTGAATAAGTTCAAGATGACCGATTGCAATTCAGTATCAACCCCCATGGAACCAAGAACGAAGATGTCCAAATTTGATGGAGGAGACCGAGTAGATATCGAAGCTTAGTTGGAAGTATTCGTTACCTCACACGTACCAGACCTGATTTGTTGCTGAGTGTCGGGATTGTTAGTCGAATTATGGAGAGTCTGTGCTACTCTCATTGGAAGGCATTGAAGTGAATTATGAGGTATATCCGAGGTACACTATCACTCAGACTACTATACACGAGGTCGGACAACTACCGACTAGTCGGGTACTCGGACAGTGACTGGTGTGAAGATGTGGATGATCGAAAAAGTACTTAAGGGTATGTTTTCTTCATGGGAAACACGACGTTTACTTGGCTCTCAAAGAAGCAACCTATAGTAACATTATCAACCTGTAAAGTCAAGTACGTAGCGACATCGTGGAGTGTATGTCATGCAGTGTGGCTTAGAAATTTGTGAAGCTCGATGGACGAGAAACAACTTGATGCAACCATAGTCCAAATTGACAACAAATCGACCATTGAACTGTCAAAAAATCTGATCAATCATGACAGAAGCAAGCACCATTGATGTACGCTTATACTTCATTTGAGAACATGTGAAGGAAGGATGTGTGGAGCTTGTACATGTGGCGAGTCATGATCAAGTTGCTGATATTTTTACAAAGCCGCTACCTACTGTGTTATTCAATAACTACAAGAAACTACTTGGGATGAAGGATGGTAGGAGCTCGGGTGCTCGAGAAGATCGGTATGAAACCGATCTATTTTTTTGCTGAAGAAATTTAATTTTACGGGAAAGTTTTGTTGGGTTTTGTTGAATAAAATTAAATAATTAGTTTTGGAGTTTATTGGAATAAAAAGATATTAAGGAGATAATTTGAAATTTATTGAAACGTTTTGATATTAGTGATATTTTAGATAGTTATTATTTGATCTTATGAATATTTTGTATATAAATACATGATTGTATTCCTCCTTGAGATATCACTGATAATCAATAATATACAGTTTTGAAATTATTTGTGTACAAGAGAATCATGTGAATCATGTGCTGCAGGACAAATTTACGAAGAAGAGGATCAGAAAATGAGAAAATTGTGAGGCCATAACATTTACGTTGGTAGTTGATGTTTGGTTAATGGCTCCATGAATTCCTAAATTCATTCATGAACATTTATGTTGATCGAGCTTATCTTTTCTAGTACGGACTGCATCAGTATCTCATCCCTGCAACTCTGTTACATTGGTTGGTGAGAATGGTGTTAATGTTTCCTATCGCCCAATTAAGATTCCTATGCATAATGTTCAATTCAGTTTTGTTTTAAGTTTTTATTCAAATTTCCACAAAGATTTGAAGAAATTATTTCCTTAAACATATTATGTCTCTCAAATTCGATCATGAGAATATATGATTATGTTAAAATTTGCAACTCTTGATAATCTATGAAATAAAAGAGACACCAAAAAGACAAATTGTTTACTACCAACCAGGTATTGCAAGTGGCAGCACTCCTTCTAGGCACTGTTCTGTGAAGTTTAAATTAATTGCATCACTCAAAACAAAAAATAGTTAAATATATAAATAAGTTGCATCAGCACAGAATATTATAAAAGTAAACTATCCTTCCGACTGTTGTGGAAGTACATCCAAACAAGACGGATCTCTCCATGGCAAGAATGCTCCATCATGTGATAAATTCTGCCACCACACAACATGTAAATCAGAAAGGCGCATTAAAATAGGGCCTCTAATTTCCTAAACTAATACGGGGATGTAAATTTTTTAGGGTAACTTTGATTTTGTTATACAATTTACACACAAAATTCTATAATTTTATATGGAGGTGCCACTTCTTTTGGACTAATAATCAAGATATAGGTGAGTTGTAACACACAAAAGGAAATGGACCTTCATAGAGTTGCAAAATAGGGTAATATGGACCAATGTACAAAAGCACATATCTTCAAGTATGATCACAATTTTACATAATGAAAATATTCAGAGTCACATAGAGACTTCTAAGAAAACTTTTGATTCACTGTGCATCTTCAAAGCATACTGATTACACCATTATATCTTGAACATTAACTGAGAATTAAACTCAGCAAATAATATACCCAACTAATTAACATTTTATTAGTTACTCTCTCTACCTTCACTCAATTCTCTCTAGGTCCTGCCATATTTCTCAACACGGATATTTTGATATGCGTTGAAAGTTAAATATTTTACAGTCAATATAGAGGCATACATTATCAATTGAGCAGTGCATGAAGGCTATAGAAAATAAAATGTGTATTGAGATGCTGAAATATCATAAACTACTTACTTTCAACCAATAGAAAAATCCACGCAGGAGATTCAGAACTCTGGGATGATCATCACGAGCTGTTTTTATTTTCTCAGCAAGATCTGCAGAACAAGCACACATCTCACAGTAATAGTTAGTCTTCCAACATAACATTTAGAAATTAATTAGAAAGCACTGAAAATGTAAATGGTTTTCACATTGCTATCTGTTATAGATTGTTGTATATAGAAAAATTATTTACTTTGAATGTCATATTTAAGATGATTTCTGATTTATTAATAATGTAAAAATCTTAACATTATAAAATCTATGTTTGCATTCTGTCATGATATCCACCAGTAACCTTGTGTCAGAATTCTTCTAGTTTGGTTTGATAATAATGTAGGTAGGATTTTTGAGAAAATTTCTATTCAAAATCTATTAGTTTGATCATCTAAATACATCCAAAATAATTAATTAATCTTACAAATCGTAAAACATCAATATATTCTCTCAATCTATGAAATGGATAGATATCATAGCTCATTACATTGTCTTTGGATATTAATTTAGTCTCATCAACTTATCAGCAAAGGACTAAATTGATTTTATAGAGAAGTGATAGTTGTGTTCGCATCAATAATGAAATCATGTAGCAAATTGAGCCCCAAGAATGAATTATTTTAAGAATAGTTAACTTGATGAAAACTTTATTGAGTTGCAGAAACAAGAAATGGATAGAAATATATGAAGCTTCCCAGCCCAATTGGTTAAGCACATGAACTCCAAAAGCATCATGCAAACACAGCTAGTGGAATATAGAAGAGAAGGGCCATATTTTACTTACCAAAATTAAAATCAAGATAAGACTTTCCGAGATAATGTTTGTCATAGATTTTGATACGTCCACGCAGGTCTCTGTGGTGTTGGACTGGTTTTCGAACAGTAATGTCGTGTAAAAGCCTCTTGTACTCTTCCTCACAGAAAGGAGCCCTAAGTTCTTCCATGAGTTTTTCTTTGAAAGGTGTAGTTGCATTGCCTTCATGATATTTATGCCAACAATGTTCCACCTTCAGGGAAGCAACAGATAACATATATAGCTAATAAAAACTAAGCTAATAGAATTGAACATAAGCAAAAGGAAGAACTCATGATTTTAGATACATACAATCTGGCCTTGCGCAGACCTTCTTGTATCTTCTTCTGCATCATCACTATCTTTAATTACCACCAATACTGCTGTGCTAGGTGGGGTTTTCAACTTCTTACTCCTGTGCTCACCCATCAAGTTATGTACACGTTTCTGTGCCTTAGAAGTCACATTACTGCTCTTAACATTGCTATTCACAGCAGCACTGAGTTTTGCACCTTTTGGCTTCCTACCCCTACGCTTCACAAGATTGTTAATAACATTAGGACTCTTACAGTTTGCAAGAGAATTCACATGCATATCTGTATCTAAGCACACATCGACCTCTTCATAAACATGATTTGCATAACTGGTGGTGTAGGTAGCTGCGCTCTCAGGACTTGATGATTCAAGCTCATACTCTACATAGACACCATCCTCAGGGATATCTAGTACATAAGATTTTCCAATAGGCCTCACATGATCCATGAAATATTTATGTTGGGGATCCACTATCACACCTTCATCGTTGTCATCATCATCCATGCCCTTTTCTTCAGCTTTGTTCTCTACGTTAGTGTACTCAAGATGAAGCATCTGAGACTTTACAATGCCATATAAACCATCCATGAATTGCACCAATTCTGGGTCCCCCTTTTGATCGTCAACAGCGAAGTGCTGCAAAAGGGTATTGAAGTAGTTTAACTTTTCAGTTTCACATTTAAGGACCCTATTCTTCTCTTGCAAGTGGCTATATATATCATATTCACAGTCCCATGTTCTGTTTCTCGGTAGCTTCTGTGCCAACGCCTTTTGCTTCTTTGGAGCAGGTACCATTCCGTTGCTCAAATGGTCCTGAAGTGAAGAATTTTCATTGCTTACTTTGTTTAATCTATGGTCAGAATAATACTTTTCTTTTATTACCAAAAAAAAGTTCATTATTTTATTTGGGGTCAATTTATGATGATAATTTTTTATTCAATAATAATCCATTGTAGATTCTCTTTGAAAGGGAAACTCGATGATAATCTTGGAAGCAGAAAAATTTACTATTAACTACTAACTAGCAAGGAATAAAGTTATCTGAGCTAGAGAAATTCTTTATAGCTGCAGGATTGTAGATATTTGAGAAGGGTGTTTGTGTTCCATCTCATGGCATGAAAAAGAACAAGAAAAGAGAATAATGAAAATGGCTTTCTTTGCATCCCACACAGAAAAAGAAGAAGCGAAGAAGAGAAAGCATGCATGTAAGGCTAACCTGTGGAACCGACGCAGATTGCAGCGAACTCAGCTCAGGATCCTGTTGGCGAAGAAAGTGACAAGGAAGAAAGTGACGTGAGGACACTCTAATAGTCTAATTCAGAATTTTTACATGGTTATTACTTATAGAAATATTATATTTTAATCCCAATTTTTTTTTCTTTTTAAATGTACAACTAGATAAACTTTTTATTCTGATTTAAAATATTTTATAACAAAATATATTATTTAGATAAAAAAATTAGAAAAATTGAAATTCTAGAAAATAATAATTTGATTATGAAATTTAAAAAAATTCAAATTTTACTTAAAAATTAAAAATGTTTATATTCTCTTATTTCTTAAAAAAAATTAATTCAAATCCAAACGAAATATCATTAATTTAACTTCACCTAAGATTTCGTCTGACAGGGTTGAGATTTGAGATTATGACATTGATGATTTGATATATAATTATTTTTGAGTTATTATTGTCAAGGTTGAATTTTGTCTATATTTCATAGCTGGTGTTCGTTAAAAAAATTCAACATCAATTAATTTTTTTACTGATATTAAACATAATTTTTGTTGACATCAATAAAAATTATTTTAAATTTATTTATATCAATCTGGCCAATATCAGTTAGAGTTATTTTCTGACAGGATTTTGCCTACTAACATTCACAGGTCCCATTTTCTATGTACATACTCACATTAATAAATTAATTGACAAATTTTATCCGAGTAAGAGGTGGATTTTTACTACTAATAATATATTATTAATAAATAATAAATAAAAAATAAATATAAAATATAGAAATATGAAATACTAAAATTATAAATATATAATTAAATATATTTAATAATCATTAAATTTATAATCAAAATTATAAATATATATATATATATAGGTTATAAATTTTGAAAATAGCCTTCTTATTTCCTAAGTTCCATCATTCCTTACCAACTTGAGTCATTTTATTAATTATATAATCTATTTTGTAATAAGATATATAAATAAAGTGTAAATTTATTTTTTAACTGTCTACTAATTTATTGTATCATGATCACATCAATATCAATACTAAGTAATAATAGAAAGAAATATGATGAAAGATTAAAATTTTGTTAGAGAGAAAATCTTAATGAAGATGCTGAATAGAGAAATTTGCCTATTGTTAGAAAAGAACAAATTTAAAATATATAGTTAAAAATAAATTTATTCAATAATCAAGAATATTTTTAAATTATATTACTAATTTATATATTATAATAATAATAATTTAATGATAACTACTTTATATGATATTGTATTGTTAAAAATTGATTTTTATGCATATAATTTTTTTTAGATAATTAGTTACTTAAGATATAAAATTAAAAAAAAAACTGCAAAATTTTTTGTCAAATAATTCACAGAAAACCTTCCAAAAAAAACTGGTAGAATATATTCCTAAAAAAATTGTAGAAAACATTCTTGTCAAAAAAAAAAAATTGCAAGAAATATTCTTTGCAAAAAACAAAAATTACAGTAAATGTTCTTGCTAAAAAAAATTCAAAAATATTGTAGAAAAAAAAATTTGCAAGAAACTTTCTTATAATTATAGGAACATTTCTCATGACTTTTCTTTTTCAAAGAAGTTCAACCATCCCACTAGCATTCCCAAGATAATGTCCAATAACTATCATTGGAATCACATGGTTTCCCGTTATAATGGCTGTTGTGTATTTGTGTATTTGTGTATTTTACTTACATCATAATGGATATTTAGTTTAAAGAGAAGTAAAGATATCTAATAAATCATGTTGTTATTAAAAGAAATTTTGAGAACATACTAGTATGAAACATAAGACCATTTTCAAGCCATATTCTTTAAATCATTTAGGGTTATTGCAATTTCATTTTCAGAACATGCTCAATAGAAAATACACATTATTGTAAGGTTATAATAGATAGGTAGGTAGATACTAGATAGATATAAATTGAACATAATTCACCAATATTGATAGAGAGAAACTTTAAAATCAAAATTAAGATATAGTAAGTAAAAACTTATTGATAACATGTGGTAATAATAGAGAAGTAGTTGTAGACAAAAATTGCGAACTTTATCATCACATATTGACCATGGTAAATTGAAGAGCGGTGATTTTCGTTGACCATTGCAAAATAAATATTTATCCGATAACCCACTTTTATTAATATAATAATAATAAAAGGATTTAATAAAAATAAAAAATTTTAAAATTGTTATTATAATATTATAATCAATTGTATATTAGATGTTTGTCAAAATAGTTTTTTTCCTAAAATAAATGCTGACAAACAAATCATATATCCCAATAATGTATCTAATTAGTAGTTGGGCCAAACATAACACCCATAGGGAAAAGCTAAGAACTCACATGCCATCATCATCCCCATCAAAGGGATAAGCTTAGTCTTAAGTTAAATATTCCTCTAGTTATGACAAAAGCTGCAAAGTGATGGACCCTAATAAGCTATTGCAAGAATCAAATGGAAAGTTGCGAGTAACCTCACATATGCCACAAAAATGAGCAGGAACAGAATATGGATGACAAGATCTACTATCACCAAAACTAAGATTTGGATGTGTTATAGTGTCAATAAATCTTATAACAACACCTTCTCTAGTAGCTTCAAACCCACCATCTTGAAATTGTGGCACATGCTTAGTCGTAGTTCTCACAAAAATCCAAAACCACATTGGGCACTTCATTACTCCTTGATAGTTTCTCTGCTTTCATGATTCAATAATAACAATCAGCACTTAAGAACGTTTTCACTTCTAGTAAATTAATACAAAAAAAACAGTAATTTTTAAACCTAGAAGATCACCAACATATTTAACCAAATCATCAATAAAAAGAAACAAGGATGCATGCACATAAATATAAATAGTCTTTTTTTTTTTACATAAAAGACGAAATCATGATGATGAAAACTAATACAATATCTCTTTTTAGGTAACCAACACAAAAAAATTCATTTATTAGATAATGATAGTTATAAAACTTTAGATATTTCTCTTTGTTTAACATTTTCTTCAACTCAGAATCATGATATCAAGAAATGAAAGAGTCATATCTATTATCTGTCTTTGTAATATTTTTATACCTTCAAAACAAGAGGATAATAGAATCAATAGAACCATAACATATAATAAGTTCAATGTAACGAGTGAAGATCACGAAAGGGAGGAAAAAATTCTTGAAAGCACGTCAGAAAACATGACATGGGAAGAAGCACATGGAGACAGACGCGTGAGGAGAAATAATGTGAGACTCAAGGATTATGATTGGATAGGAGCGCATTAAATAGAATTTCGTTAGAGGAGAGAGAGGGGGGAATATTTTGTCATTACTTCGTTTTATCCAAATTCTTCGTTTCTTTTTGTGCCTTTCTTTCTTCTTTGTACATGTCATCTTCTATTGCATTGAAAAAGGTATTATATTTCGTATAAGAACCGAATTCCACAAAAGATTCATAAATACTATTATCATATTAGTTACATTTCCGTACATTGTGATATTGTTACATTGGTGTTTTCATTCCTCTGAGCCATGGCTGAAAACACTAGAATGAAGGAATTAGCTACTGAAATAGCTCGTCTAAAGGACCTCCCGACGGAGGTTAGTCGCATCGTTGAATCCATGGAACGACGTGAGAGGGAGTTATAGAAGTGGATGGATCATTTGACATTACGTGAACAAGACGCAAAAAATAGATTCCAAACCTTAGAATCAACAGTGGGTTCTTTGCTGCAAATGAAGCCACCACCAACAACAGAGCCGCAACCATTCCAAGTGCGTAATGTGAAACTCGATTTCCTCGATTTGACGGTATTGAAGTCCTCCAATGGATCTTCAAGGCAGAGTAGTTCTTCAACTATTACCGCACACCAGATGATCAACGCTTGATCATAGCGTCAATTCATTTGGAGAAAGAGGTAATCCCTTGGTTCCAGATGCAAAATCGTGTCAATTCCTTTCCAACTTAGGTAACTTTTACGCGTGCATTAGAAATTGAATTTGGTCCTTCCCTGTATGAATGCCCGAAGGCTACCTTGTTTAAACTCACCCAAACTTCATATGACCATGATTATTATACTCAATTCACTTCCCTAGCCAACCGTGTCCAAGACATCACTGTTGAGGCTCTCCTATATTGCTTTGTAGGAGGCTTAAAACCAGATCTCAAACGTGATGTTATTGCTCAAAACCCCAATTCTCTACTATGGTGTGTCTCATCAGCCAAGTTGTATAAGGAGAAGTACACTCCCAAAAACAAGCTACATAACACTCCCTATTATCCCAAAACACAAGCCATAAACACAAGCTCAATTACCTCACAATCCATAAGATCTACCAGTTTACCACCCTTGTTATCTTTCCCTTAGTCCTACACAATCATTTTAAACACCAAAACCAATCCTATTAAAAAGATTACTGCTGCAGAAATGCAAGCAATTGCGTAGAGAGAAAGGGCTCTGTTTTACATGTGATAATAAATTTACCATGTCTCATAAGTGTCCCAATAAGCACTATTTTGTCTTACAAGTTGATGAAGATGTTGTATTTGATAACATGACCCTCCTGAGGACCTTATGGAGGCTAAAAAACCACCAATCTTGGAACAACACCTTTTGTACAATGCATTAAAGGGATCTGCAGGACTAGGCACTATGAAATTTAAAGGGTCTATTAATGGAATGATGGTCCAGGTTCTATTAGATAGTGGAAGCTCAGATAATTTTTTTAGCCCCGAATTACTCACTGTTTGAAAATTCCAATGGAACCTATCCCTAACCTTCAAATGTTAGTGGGCAATGGTAATGTCTTTGTAGTTGAAGGACTCATCAAGGATTTACAAGTTAAGATTCAATGTTACATGTTGTAGTTACCTATTTACTTATACTGATCTCAGCTTATTTGGTGTTAGGAGCCGCTTGGCTAGCAACCTTGGGACCTCATGTCTCTGATTATAGCAACTTATCTATCAAATTTTATGTTGGGGATCAATTTCTAACTCTTCATGGCGATCATCCCACCCTGCCACAACCAGCTCAATTCAATCACTTCAAGAGAATGTGCCACACAAATGCTATTACTAAGTTATTCTCCTTGCATGTTCAAAGCCCTCCAACTCCACACGATTAATGGCTTGATCTTCCAACTAATATGGAGCCTGAACTTGTGTTGTTCCTCCATCAATACAGAACAATTTTTTATCTTCCAACAGGACTACCTCCAGATAGGCAACAAAACCATTCTATTCCTTTAGTTGAAGGTGCTAATCCTGTGAAGGTACGCCCCTACAGGTATCCTCATAGCCAGAAATTGCAAATTGAGAAAATGATCCTGGAAATGCTACGAGCAGGAATTATCATTCCATCCATAAGCCCTTTTTCTTCACCAATCATACTGGTTAGGAAGAAGGATGATACTTGGAGATTTTGCACTGATTATAGAGCTTTGAATGTTATATCAATCAAAGATAGCTTCCCTATTCCCACTGTGGATGAGTTACTTGATGAGTTATATGGGGCACAATTCTTCTCTAAACTAGATTTAAGATCTGGGTACCATCAAATACTGATTAAAGAGGAGGATAGACACAAGACAACTTTTAGAACTCATCAAGGTCATTATGAATAGTTGATAATGTCATTTGGTTTAACCAATGCTCCTGCCACCTTTCAATCCCTCATGAATGACATTTTTTAAGGTATCTTAAGGAAATTTGTCTTAGTTTTCTTTGATGATATCTTAGTATACATTCCAACCTGAGGAGAACATCTAAATCATCTAGAGACAGTCCTGCAGATTTTACAATACCATCAGTTGTATGCCAAATTGTCGAAGTGTAGTTTTAGCTAAAAAGAGGTGGATTTCTTGGGCCATATGGTATCAGGAAAAGGTGTGGTCGTGAATCAAGACAAAATTAAGGCAGTTATGTAATGGCAAGTTCCAAACAATTGACAAGTTTTTTGGGACTCACAAGTTATTATAGAAGATTTATTAAGAACTATGCCTCGATTGCTGAACCTTTAACTAATCTTCTAAAAAGGACTGTTTCAAATGGAATGAAGAAGCAACTCATGCTTTTGAAACTTTAAAAGCTACTATTACTCAAGCCCCTATGTTGATGCTTCCTGATTTCCCCATTCCATTTGTCATGGAGACTGATGCTTCAGGGTCAACCATTGGAGCAGTGCTTATTCAGAACAAAATCCCATTGCATACTTCTCAAAGAAGCTGAATCCAGGAATGCAAAAACAATATGCTTATGCAAGGGAGTTTTTTGCCGTTACTAAAGTTATGGGCAAGTTTAGACATTATCTTTTGGGACATAAGTTTGTGATTAGAACGGACCAAAGGAGTTTGAGAAGCCTCACTGAGCAGGTCATTCAAACACTGGAACAACAGAAATGGATACATAAACTACTAGGGTATGACTTTAGGATTGAATATAAAACTGGAAAAGACAATATGGTTGCTGATTCTTTATCCAGATCCTTTATGATGGCATGGTCACAACCTCAAGTATACTTCATACCAGAATTAAGAAGAGCTCTAACTATAGATGAAGAGGTGAGGAAGATCATTGATGATTGTGTAGCCAACAGGCATTTTGTTCCACATTATGCAGTCCATGATGGCTTACTTTACTGGAAGGACAGGCTAGTCATACCTGCATCTCATGATTTAGTTTAAAATTTGCTCAAAGAATTTCATAATTCTCCACTAGGTGGTCATGCAGAAATCATTAGAACTTTCAATAGACTTGCTCAACAATTCTATTGGGTTGGAATGCATTAGGATGTGAAACAATTTGTTCAAAATTGTTTGATATGTCATCAAGCAAAATCAATCAATTCTCTTCCCTTGGGGTTACTACAACCTTTACCAGTGCCAAATCAGATTTGGGAGGATGTGGCTATAGACTTTATCACTGGCCTTCTAAATTCTCAATGCTATACTGTGATCATGGTAGTGATTGACCAGCTATCCAAGTATGCTCACTTTTGTGCCTTGAAAGTTGATTACAACAGCAAACAGGTAGTTGAAGCCTTTTTGAAAATGGTCATAAAATTACATGGATTCCCTAAGACTATTGTCTCAGATAGAGATAAGGGGTTTGTAAGTCAATTCTGGCAGCACTTATTCAAATTAAGTGGAACTACCTTGCACATGAGCACAACTTATCATCCTCAGTCGGATGGTCAGTCATAAGCTCTCAATAAATGCTTTGGAGATGTATTTAAGGTGTTATACCTATGAGTCTTCTAAGGAATGGGTCAAATTTTTATCTTGGCTTGAGTTTTGGTACAACACTTCTTATCATCACAGCAGTGGTATGACTCCATTTAAGGTAGTTTATGGCAGAGATCCTCCACAATTAATTAAATAAAATGCTAATTCTCATGATCCTCCAACAGTCCAAGAGCTTAGAAACAGACAGACAATGATCAACAAATTGAAACAAAATTTAATAAGATCTTAGCAACACATGAAGAAATATGCGGATCCAAAATGAAAAGACATGGACTTTAAGCTTGGTGATATGATGTTGGTCTGGTTACAACCTTACCGCCAGAACTCTGTGGCTCTTCAAAAGAATCAGAAGTTAGGAATGAAGTACTTTGGGTCGTTTCTTGTCATTGAAAGAATTGGCCTTATTGTTTATAAGTTTCTTTTTCCACCAACAACCAAAATCCATCTAGTTTTTCATTGTTCTCAGTTAAAACCTTGCAGGGGAGATCATACTCAACAAGTTGTTCTAGTAATCACTATCGATTCCAAGACTCCCCTATTATCTATTTTGTTGTTATGCTCCAAGTTCATAGAATTATGCAAGGGAATCAAACAGTAAAATAGTTTTTAATTCAATCGGAAGGGTTAGAAGAATCACCTCCTACATGGGAAGATGAGTTTGCCTTATGCAAAGCCTATCCAAACTTTAACCTTGAGGACAAGGTTAATTTTAAAGGAGGAGGAATTGTAACGAGTGAAGGTCATGAAAGGGAGGGAAAAACTCTTAAAAGCACGTTAGAAAACGTGAGGGGGGAAGAAGCACGTGGATACAGGCGCGTGAGGAGAAATAATGTGAGGCTCAAGGATTATGATTGGGTAGGAGTGCATTAAATAGAATTTCGTTAGAGGAGAGAGAGGGGGAGAACATTTTGTCATTACTTCGTTCTACCCAAATTCTTCGTTTCTTTCTATGCCTTCCTTTCTTCTTTGCACATGTCATCTTCTGTTACATTGAAAAGGGTGTTATATTTTGTATAAGAATCGAATTCCAGAAAAGATTC